TGGGGGGGATGTGCATGTGGGCTGTTAACACGTGTATGTCAACGATCATATAACATCCGTTAAGTTAAATATTACACTACCCCATGGATCACATGTGTAAAAGCACTTTAAACTCTGTTAAATGCACACAAATGCCAAGTAACAATCCTAGGGTGGTCCTATCACCACAAATACCATCGAGTCTGGGAGGGAAGGGGTCTCGTGGCAGAGCAGCCGATTACAGTGACCCCACACCATTGGTTTTCCAAAACTGCTGCGTGAGTGAAGGGAAGCAACGGGTGCGGTGTGCAGATGCCCTGCAGACACGCTGCCTGCGCCTTCACGGACGCGCAGTCCCCACTGCCCGCACTTACCCCTCCCAGAATGGCTCTGACAGCCTCCTCACTGCTGGACACGCCCCAGAGCAGCGTGCAGGCGGCTGCGCCCATCTCCGTGCAGTACTCGGCCTGCTGCAGGAGCTGGCGCTTCACCTCACTCAGCTGCTGCCGCAGGGCCAGCTTCTCCTGTGTCAAAACAAAGTCAGAAAGATGGATAGCATTCAACTTCCAAGTAGCTCGTGTTTCCTCTCCAGATATTTTAAAGAAGAGAAATGCATGCAGAACTACAGAAAACAGTTGGCAAAGAAAAACCAGTCCTTAGAGAACCACAATCCATATGAAAAAAATAAACTTCAGAGTAAAATTAACACCCTTAGAAAAAAACATACTACAGCATTCGTTCATAAACACCACCCAAGACTTGACTTTGTCTTTCTCAAGTAAATGAAAACATGAGGCATCTCAGGTCCCAAGTAGCTATGCCCAGGACCAGCACCAAGGGGACACCTGCACAAGGTGACGACCTTCCTGAGAGAGGCCGTGAACTGTCCTACCGGCGTCCTTCTGACTACCAAGCACTAAGGTTGACCTCCAAGTGGGTCTTGGGTCGTGTGGGGCTTCCTGCCCTCCCGCCCACCGCCACCAGTGTCACTATCCTTGTCACCTGAAATGCCCTTAGAAGGTGATAGTATTTCCTTACTTAATAAGAGATAAACTTAGAAACATAAAAACACAGTTAAATTAACTTATTCCAAAGTATAATTAGCTCAATAGCCCACAAAGTTAAAGTATATTCGATGTTCCAGGGTCTTCTTTTACAGGTGAGTACAGGAAAAAGTGGAGCCAGCCGTCAGCAGCCACCCGGACCAGCCAGCAGCCATCAACACCGAGGCCGACTTCCACCAGCAAAAGGATTATGACTCACTGAAGGCTCAGGTGACGGTGAGCATTTTTTAGCAATACAGTGCTTTTAGTTAAGGCTATATACCTTAACATTGTGGGTTTCTTTAGACATAATGTTATTGCACACTTAATAGAGTACAGTATGGTGGAAACACAGCTTTTATGTGCACTGGAAATAATTCATGGGACTCGTTTTATTGCAGTATTTGCTTTATTGCAGTGGTGTGTGGACAAAGTTTGCAACAATTTCCCTTTTATTACCATAAAAAGTAACTCTTTCCTAACAAAAATATATGTAACAAAAACTGGCGGTCTCTATTTAAGTTAGTTTGCTGCCTGTGAAAGGTGCACATCATAAGGACAGCACAAAGAGGAGAAATTGCAGATCCACAGCTGACAGGCCTGCTCCGAAGGGAACACAGACGCCACCTGCTGCCTGGGACCATTCCCCCATGGACAGCACAGCCAGGCCCTGAAACAGCTCCGCCAGCTCAGGCTTTGTGCAAAGGCTCATCTAGGCTTCCTGTGGCAGCACGGTCCTCCAAGAAAAAACCCACGTGCCCTCCAGCAGTGTCACTCCTCCATGAAAGCTGGGCTCTTTTTGCTTTGCCAGGACTCTCGGGGCCAGCCCCTTAGGTCACAGCAAGGCAGCGATCTCCTCCAGCTGGCCTCCTCCACGGATCTGACTCAATCATCGCTGAGGAGACATCTTGACTGAAGTCACAACCAAGCTTTCCTGGTTCCAGTCGCCATTCTCCAGGGGGGTTGGGCACCGCTGCTCATCTAACACACGTCTTCTTGATTCTGAGTCCACGCTTTGAAGTTATCTTTTCTTACACACTGGATTCAGTAACTCCCATCTTTCCATAACGCCTGTTTTACCCTTAAAGCAATACTCTAATTCAGGATTTAGTCCCTGGAGTCTTTCCTGGTTCCTCAACCCTACATAAGCTTCCAGAGTCTGGCTCCTTATCTGTGCAGACCTGGACAGACACCACAGAAAGGCAGCTGCCAGTGGAAAGAGACGTGGCCATGTCACACAAGCTCGCAGGGCCCGCAGTGGCAGTACGTCGGCAGGACGACTTATCAGGGAGCTTAAGTGGGAACAGCTGAACTTAAAATACTCCCACTTTAAGGTCAGGTGTGAGGGCAGTGACACACTGATGATGTGAAGCCGCTTTGCCACAGCTATTTCCTCCTCTACACTGGCACTTTACCAGAATGGCTTCTTTTTAAACATTACATCTAACATGCCAGCAAAACATGCATTTCTCTTATGCTTATCAATTAAAAAAACAAATCTAAAATTCTGTTCAATCTAAGCTTCAACCTTAACAAGGATGTCTCAGCAATCTAAGGAAGAAATGAACCAGCAGATTCCATTTTACTTGATCATGATTTAAATAGAACGACAAAGCTGAAATTTCACCTTCAAATATGTGACGCTCCACCTAAACGAATTTTCAGACTGAAACTCTTTCCCTAACCTTTTCCACTTGTTCAATATTGAAGACTATAAGTTTCCATCGGTTTTGGAAAACCTCCTTGCAGCCACAAACATTCCGAATCCCTTCACATGAGAAGACAGCATGAAACAAAGCCCAACACCCAGGCAGAGGGACCTGGGCCAGCTCCCCAACATTCCCGTAAATCAGTAACACCTGCAGACCCAGCTGTGCTGGGAGAAGCAAGAGATGCCCAGCCAGCTGCTGACCACCTGCCAGCACACGGGAAACAATACCTACTAGCTGCCATTATTTGTACAATTCTTGTTCTAGCATTCAAAAATAAAAATACATTCAAGATCCACGTTGTACCAGACATGGAAGAATAGTTCTAGTTTTACAAGAAATAATTTATTCCATACGAAAAGTTAAAATTAATGTGTAGTTTTTAAGAAATATTATCAGTCTCCCCAATATTAAAATTGGTTATTTCTAAAAGATCAGTAAATGATCCCCTAAATTGATTACAAATATTCTGATTTAATACATCTATCTCTGATTATAAATTATGTGTGTGATAGTTTTTCAAGATTCTTGTATTATGAATGTATATGTTTCAGAGTGGTCTTTTAAACATAAAAATGAACAGTAAGTGACTATTAAAAGACACCCAGTAAATCATCTCCACATTAAATGGTTATAAAATGCAAGTGTTCGACGCCCTTCCAAACCTGTCAGAATCCCCACAGCTAAAAATACAATCTTGAGGCTTAAAGGCTAGAAAGGCGATCTCTGGCCCTCAGTGGCCTCGGCCAAGACGCAGGCACTCTTAGGCAGGGGTCAGCGAGCGTCGTACCTTCTTCTCTCTCACGCTGTCAGTTTGCACCGTCTCCAGGCGGGCTCGGAAGTGCTCACAGTCCATTCTCAGCTGTTCCAACTCTTGGTCTTTCCTTTCCAAGTCTAGAAGACAGAGTATGAATCTCAATATTTCAAATCACTAATCTCGGAAGCACCCATTTTTGCCCCATCTACTCTTGGAAAACCTGATTTTTGAGGTAGTGGTATTTGCATAACCGGTCCTTGAGTAACCAATATTCTCCAAGTCCTGCTTTGTAAGTTTTGATCAGATTTTAGCCCATAGTAGAAAGTACTTCTTTCATGGTTTTCTGCTTTGTGTGTTTAAGACCTCACTTTACTGCCAGACTTGTGCTCAAGGCTTTAAGAAACTTTGTATTTTAAGGGGCTGGAGGCAGGGCTTAGGAGCCCGACTGTCTCACAACACAGACTATATCTGCTCCATAAAAAGCAGAAGGCAGCTCAGTGAGTAGACAGTGCCAGCCGGGGCTGACTCACAAAGCTCGTCTCACCAACTGGCAGACTGACTCAGTGGGGACAGCTGCAGTAGTCAGTGCGGGAGCGAGAACAACAGTGATGGAGACCAGGAAAGGCCACAGGAGACGTGGGCCTGGGGAGTACTTCCTCTCCGCCATATTCCTTCACGTGATGATACAAATGGCCACCAAAAATCCCAAAGACGTCCACAGTAATAAATTTGAAATCAAAAGTATCACCATTTTAAATAAAAGGTATTACGCTGCAGGACTACTGACATTCAAAAAGCAAAGAAATGCGTAAACTTTTAAGTGCCTTGACTTCAAGGACTGAGAAATCACCACTTTTTATGCTGACAGGCATGGAGATCTGGGCGGGCACCTGTGCTCGGAGCTAACGGTGTAGCTTCTCTGATTACAGTAAGGACGGCGGGGTCAGTGGTTCTCAGACTGCAGTGTACATCAGAATCCCCTGGGGACCCATCCTGTTTCTGGCTCAGCAGGACTGAGGGGGTCTAAGACTCGGTACGCTCACAAGTCCCAGGCGAGGCTGATGCTGCTGGTCTGGGAACACAGAGAGGACGGTGAAGCTTCGTGACAACAGCCTGGTCTCTCATCACACAGTCAGTAAAATGGAGGGAAGCCAGCAGTCGGAGTGCCCAAGGGAGGGCGCCAAGGGTGAGGAGAGCCTGAGAGCAGGCCCCGGGGCAACGGAGCCTGACCCTACCCTGGAGGAGAACATGGCCAACACGCACTTCCTCCAACCACGTGCAGACAGAGGATAGGGGTGCGGCTTTGTAATCTAGAGGTCTCCAAGGACAAGGGGAAGCCCAACCGTGAAGTTCCGGGGCACTGCCGAGAACAACGCAGGCCCCCCCAAAGCTCTCTCCATGGTTCCCAGAGCTGCCTGCCCTGGAAGGAAGATGAGAAGCTACAGCTAAATATTCAGACAGCTAGAGATGATGCAACCGGCTGGCAGCTTCTCTTCAATGGTGTTTCTGAAAAACGAGGGTGAGGTAACATGGGGCTAGTTCTTCTCCCTGCAGTCAGCTGCTTTTCTGCCCTTTTATGATGTATTATATATACCGCAACATGACTTTCACTGGAATTCTTTATTCTGTCCCACTAATGCTGGCCACAGAAGAAATCAACTACCAATCAGGTGCCACGCTTAGAAAACTACATAGTTGCCTTGTAACAATATTAAGTGGAAACATATATATTACTCATACATGTGCTTATAATTATGTATGAACTATGAACTGCATGTGATCACAGACAAAAGGAAATAAAATGAAAAAAGAAACTAAGAAAAAACTACTGATGGTATAAACTTTTTGCAGTTAACTGTTACATTATTCTTCTATTACTGAACTGCACATTACTCACAGTAAAGAAGATAGGAAATGAAAACTCCACAAGCCTTATTATGGGTAAGAATCTGTACGAATTAATTGTGACCACCCAAAAGACACTCTGGTTTAGGGAATTCCATGATCTCTCACTCTGTGCAGCCATACTCAGCCTTGCTGTGAGTTAACATAAAGGGACAGGTCAAAACACCCACTACAGGAGGCCACGCCCACGCACCACAGGCTCTCCGGGATGCAGGCGCATTTTCCGCGGTGCGAGGCCACCGCCTTGTGGCCATATGGGAGCACCGCCGCAGGCACACTGCAGCCACTGTCTCCGGCAAAACTCCCACCTTGCATTTTCAGCTTGGCCCACAGCGTGCCTGCCACCTAAACCACCGCGAGGGCACGGGTTTTCATAGTTCGTTTTCTAACATCCCAAATGCCTAGAACAGTACATGGTATGTAGTAGGCATTTTATAAATATTTGTCACATAAATGAAATTCACTTCTTTATATATTCCTTCTGCTAAGCCTTGAATAAAAACATGGCTGCTTTGATTATATGCCTCATTCTTCTTTAATGAGAATATACCACTTTTTATCCTACTTTTGCAAATTTTTTCAGAGACAGAAAGAATGTGGACAGTAAATGATACATTATATATAGTCAGGACATTATCTTACCCATCCTCAGTATTAGAACAGGAAAGTGGGCTGCCACCCAGCCCAGACTGTATTTCAACCTGTCATCTTTAGCATTTAAAATGAAGGAGAAATCTCCATTTAAAAGTTCACTGAACAAAGGGTGGCCTAGACAGACTACCAATATACAGAACCAATGTGAATCACAGGCCATCTCTACATCTCCAAGTCTTCTGAAATTTACAACCCTCTTTGATAGTTTTAATGACATGAGACTGTATCTGAATGCTCAGCTTATTCACAGGAAGGCTATAGAGAACTATATGCAGGCAGGATACAGAAAGCTATAAGTGAAAACACTAATCAAATAAACTTAAACTGTACAAAAGGGATCAATTTCTTCTCTCATCACCCAGCATGTTTATAATAAATTATCAGTTATTTCATATTTATATGAAAATATTTGCTTTTGACCAAAATAGCTAAGGAAAGAGTCTAAAATCCAAAATTAAGACTTTTTAATAGTCAATAACTTTTACCTTCTTATCACTCTCTGATAGGTTTGGGAAAGCATTCAGAATTAGCTGCTGATGGATTCCACCTTTACTGCGAGCTGAGATGTGGAGGTGGAGGTTCGTTTCCTATGGCTGCTGTCACCAAGTGCAGGCTTCTCTCGCTATCTGACAGTAAAGCGTTCCTATGAAACCTCCACAAGCTGAGATGGTGTAAAGCGAAGCAGCAGTCACCTTAGGACACATCTTGCTAACGGATGCACAAAACAAAATGCGGTCAAGTGCATGCCGCTCAGACACGGTTGAAAGCCTGGTGGCCTGATGCTGAGAGATGTGAGGGTGGTTCCGGGAAAGGAGCCGGGAAGGGCCACTCTGATGGCTCTCTGCAAAGCCAACACTTTTGGCCTTTTTTCATAAAAGCAAAAATCACCTTCATATTTCTTTCGGTTAGTGAAAACAGGTACTAACTAGTGTAGGCCTTTCATATGGACGAAGTGTCCTAACGCGAACTTTCAAAAAGTGAGGGTGGTTGGCTTAGAACAGAAATCGACTCTCAAGTCGGAAATCCAGGTGCTGGTGGGCCAGGCGCCTCTGAAGCCCATAGGGGAGGACCTTCCCGCCTCTCCCTGCTTCTGGAGCCCCAGGATTCCTAGGTGTGTGGCCACACAGGCCAGCCTGCCTCGGCCTGCACTTGGCCTTCCCGTGTCTTCATATACCTTCCCTGTGTGCGTCTGTCTCTGTCCAGACCCCACTGTTACAAGGGCACCAGTCATTGGATTAGGGCCCAACTACAGACTCATTTTACCTTCATCGCCTGCACCTCAGGGCCAGAGGCAGCCTGTCAAAAATATAAGCTGAAAAAGTGAAAAAATTAGAATATTCCAAGTTACATGAAAAAACAAACAAACCTCAGTTAAAGAGCTTAAATGCATTTGAAATCCCAGGGCTCATTCTAAGCCAGCCCAACAACATTTTAATTAGCTGTCAAATTTCTAAAACAAACCAAAGGGAGTAGGGTTTGGAACCAGAACACGGAAATAGCATTTTTTTTCCTGCACTGCCAAAAATCTGCTTCCAAAACCACGCTTCTTTTTCTAACGTAAAGGCCACTGGAGTGATCTTTCACAAGATGAAGAAAACGTGTGACTAACAGGAATTTATGCTACAATGGCGCTGCCAGTGCACCTGGCATCACCTCATCTCACTAACTTTTCACACCTGCATGTTAGAGCGCCTCAGTGTACTGTAAATCACCAAGGCAAAGGCTCGGGTCTTACACTTTTTATATCCCCACATGACCTAGCTGTGCCTGACAGATACCAAGCACATAATACCTACCAGATTGATTTATCAACTAAATTCACTGAAAGACTTGAAAATAAATATCATTACCAAAAAAAGCTCAATCTTGTTGAACTCAAATGAACTCTGTTAAAGTATTTCCCAAACCAGAGTGAGGGGATTTTGCTTTTCATTTATTGGTGTATGAATACAAACATAATGTCTACGATGAGGGGGTCAGGAGTGAGCTATTAAAATAATTTCTGTCTCTATCCTCTCTTGGCGACCTTCCCACCTCCTCTGTCCATAGCCTGTCAGTCTTTCTTCTTTTGGGGTCCCCTGTATTCTTTCTCGAGTCTCCACGTGCCCTACAGATCCACTCTCCACCCTGCTCTGCCCCCAAGAGGCTGAAAACGCCCACAGCAACTGGACTCCCTTGCTTACAGCTTCCTGTTGGATTTGGAGCGGCAGGCCCTGCAGGAAGCGAGGAAGGAGACTGAAGCTGGGACCCTGACTTCCCCGCTGCATCAAGTCAGCAGCAGCTTCGCCTTCTGACAGAGGCTGTGGTCCTGCCGGCGCCTGCCCTCCTGCAAGGCTGGTAGTCCTCCTGCCACTCCTTCAGGCCCAGGGGGGCCACGGCACCCCACTCTTCTAGTTCCTGGGGCTTTGCTAGCCTCCTGCTGGCTCCCCGAACCCTGCCCACACCTTTGTCCGTCATCCCTTCGTGTATTACAGTCTTTGTTTATCCCTTTAGTTTCCTGCCCGGACATGGACGTGATACACTCTGATCTTATCTCATTTGGGACACAATAACTTTTGGTGAAATTAAATAATTTCTT